AAAAAAAAAAAAAAAAAAAAAAATAATAATAATAATAAAAAGAACAACCAAAACGACGAATCGTTAATGCGTGACATTTTATGACGTCATTAAAACCGTTTTGTTTTCGATTTGCCAATAAAACTACGTCGTCCAAAAAATTTTTTTTTTTTTTAAATAATATTTTTACTATTTTATTTTATCGTACGAATACATACATATATTCCCGTTTTATAATAATAAAAATGACGTCATCACGTCGTAATTGAAAAAAAAAATCCCTTTAATCCTTTTCTTCCGAGCGTAAAAATAAGAATAATAATAATAATATTTATGAGATTTTTTTTTTTTGTTTAAATTCCGGGTACGTAAAATCTTAACGTTAATCCAATTATTTTAAAATTAAAAAAAAAATTATTTTGTAATTAATGATTAAAACGTCATAATTTTTTTTTGGTTTTCCTTTGGCTTAAAAGGTTTACCTTTGAGTGTTTTTATTAAACAAATAAAAAAAATGCTAAAATTAAATTTTTATTAACTAATTACGTCATAGGTAAAAAAAAAAAGGTTGATGATTGATCTTTGAATGAAAATGAAAAAAGAGTAAGTAATTTTTTTAAATAAATAAACTATAACGTCATACAAAATTACGTCATTAAATATTTAAAAGTTTAAAAAAAAAAAAATAAATTGAAATTTATTATCATTAAATTAATTTTTTTAATGACGCGAAAAAAAAAAAAAAACTTACAAGTCGGCGATATAAGAAAAAAAAAAAAATTTTTTGGACGGTTAAACGGAAATGACGTCAGAAAAAATTTTCTACTTACGTAATTAATTTTTTTTTTAAAAATATTTTATTATTACATTTTTTTTTTATCTATGAAATAATTTTTCTTTGAAAAAAGTAATAAAAAAAAATTTTTTTTTTTTAAGAAAGGTCAACTAAAGGTTAAAAATCTCCATTTTGTTTCGAATATAAAAGTAAATTAATAATTAATTATTTTTTTTTTATTAAAAAAAAAAAAAATGAAGGAAGGAGGGAAGGAAAACGGAAGGCATCCATTTTTATTAGCATTAATTGGTTATTTAATGTTGTTAAATTTCTAATCGTTACTTTTTTTGTCCTTTTTTTTTTTTCAATCCCTCGGGATGTTAGTTAAATATTATTATTATTATTACTTTTACATGAACGAAGGGAATAATAATAATAATAATAATAATAAATACGAATTACAGATTTATAATAAAAATTTTTTTTTTGTGTTGTAATTATAATTAGTTGTTAAAAAATTAAAAAAAAATTATTTTTTTTAAGTAGCAGAAGAAAATCATTTCCGGTTGTTTGTTTAATAAATAAAAAAAAAAAAATTTGTCACGTTTTAATCTTATTATATAAAAAAATGACGTAAGGAGGATTATTTAAAAAAAAAAAAAATGATATCGTTTATTTTCAGTTGGTGATATCGACCTTAACGACCCGACAGCAAATAAAGCAGCAACAAAAATTCAGGCTGCGTTCAGAGGTCACCAAACAAGAAAAACAATGAAACAGGGAGACGCAGAACCACAACAACAACAACAACAACAACAACAAAATTTAAATGAAGAATTCAACGCCGAAAACAAAGGTCAGTTTTAACAACAAAACAAAAAAAATGTTTTCCTTTTCTTCCCCCCCTTTTTTTCTCCCCTCTTCCGCTCCGCTCCTTGCCTCCCCTCTCCTCTTTCGCTCCCCCTTCCCGACAGAATTATTTTTTGGTTTTGGTTTTACCGAAGAGAAAAAGTTTTTTGAAAATTTTGGAAACACCGAAAAAAAAACTAATTTTAAAGAAATAAAATAAAATAAAAAAATATTTTCAATTATTTAAAATTTTTTTTTCTTTTCTTTTCATTTCTTCCTTTTTTTTTTTGTTATTTTCCTACAGTTTTTATTTCCAGGTGTTTTTATTTTTTTTTTTGACAATTTGAAAGGTTAAAAGGTTAAAAGCTCAACTTTAAACTTTTTTTTTTTTAAAGAGAAAAGTTTTGCAAAAAAAAATGAAATCGTTTTAAATAAAAAAACGACAAATTTTCAATCATATTTGATGACGTCGATTTTTTTTTCCCGCCATTTTATTTTATTTTTTTTTATTATTTTGACAGAAAATCTAATAATAATAATAATAAAATTTTTTATTTTGAAATCGTATAGTCGAATGAAAAATTGTAGAAATTGTACATTTTGAAAATAATAAATAAAAATAAAAAGAAAAAAAAAATTTAATTGAAATTTCATAAAAAAAAAAAAAA